ATAATAATAACAATAACAATATCAAATTACCTTTCAATCAATACACCTCAAGCTGACAGGTACACACAGTCAGTAGTAGACAGCTATCAAACAGGGAGGTACTACCACTTGTTGAAGATATTGGAAGAATAATGTATTGTTTAATGGTAGACCCTGCTGCCATATATGACCAAGTCCCAGGTTGATGATCTGACTTTCTGCCTCATTTACACACAATTGCAGGGTCTCAATTGTTTCTCTTACCATTGACAACACAACATACATATATGGTTTCTCACTACTGATTTTTCTTCGTATTAATTTATGGTTCTATTATTATTATTATTATTATTATTATTATTATTATTATTATTATATTTCCACCCCCAAGTTCCGATGTGGGTCAGTGACTCGTGCCCTGGTGGGTTAATCCCCGTCAAAAAATAAAAAAACTAACAATTTATCAGACAGATCATTTACCTACAGGGAGAGTAACAGCGTGTTTAACTAGCGGGTTACTAGCTGTGGTGTCCAGAGCCTTGTTAAGACTCCAGTCATCGTCGGTAATGACGGACGCCAACACCTGAGCCCAGCTTCTGTGGCTCTCATTAACCGCATATAACACCTATGGCAGTAGTCAACACACACACACACACACACACACACACACACACACACACATTAAATGAACATTCTTCGCTAATCATCAATTCCTCCAGCTCTCCTTTTACCAAAGTAAAAGAACACAGTAAATGAGAGATAAGAAAGAGGTGGGAAGGGTGGAGAGAGAAGAGACGGTAAGGGCTTTATCAACACGACGACAAAGCGAGTCACTTCCTGGGACGGGCAACAAGTGCTTTTTATGAGAGTGTAAATGTTGGTGTCTCCCGGACGATGGAAAGATAACAGAGATAATTAGCGATAAGCAGAGATATAGAGAGATAATGGGGAGGTAAGTACAGAGGGAAGGACAGGGAGATAAGACTGAAGAAAACATGACGAAAATAAAACACGATAAACACAACGAAAACAAAAAATCAATAAAAAAAACAGGTTAACATGACACACACATATTAACTACATTTAAAAACAGAGAAAAAACAATTAAAAAAAACACCTTTGCTGACCTGTACTAATTGTCTGGTTCACCTGGTCGAGTTCTTACCTGAAAAAGAAATAATCAATTGTTATATAAATTAAAAAAAACAATTTATATATTTTAAATTATATATCTAAATGTTTTAAAATTTTCTGAGTCTGTCTGAGTCTGTCTGTCTGTCTGTCTGTCTGTCAAAACTGTGCGAATGTTTGACGAATTTCTCGGCTTGCTCTTGAGCTAAATGGCACACACACACACACACACACACACACACACACACACACACACACACACACACACACACACACACACTCCACGGGTTAAACACTCCCACAATGACATTACAGAAAACCAAACAATTTATTTCACCACTAACTAAACTAATAGTAACTAGGCTAGCTATTACTCTTTCCTATTAACTTGTATATATTAGTAGCGATAAATAGGTGTGTATAGTCTCATTTGAGTCTATGGTCTGCTTTCTATAGATTAAAATTAGTGAATAAATGTAAAATATTTATGTAAAAACTGAAGAAATTTTATGTATTTTGGTGAATAAGAAAATCATAAATTCTAACCGTTTTTATTATTATTGTCATTTTTTTTTTCATAGCGACGATGATAATATTTATTGTATTTAACTTTATTTGTTTAGTAAGGTTAGGAAATGTAGGAATGGAATAGTTTGTCCTAATAGAATCTCGTTTTCTTTCATTCGTTATTACTTGATACGTTTTCTCTCTCTCTTTCTCAAATCCTTAACTCTCTCTCTCTCTCTCTCCTTATTCTGTATTATCGTATGCTGTTATGGTCATTTCAAAACAATTCTACACACACACACACACACACACACACACACACACACACACACACACACACACAATAGACAATTTCAGGAAAAAATATCTAAACAAAACAAAAATCTTCCTTTCAAACTGGAAATAAGACCTGCCACCTGACACTTCATAATTCCACCTAACATTTACCACCGTATGCTTATTTCAGGCTCAGGCACTGGCGTTAACGTTACGTAAAATCACATAATGGCCCTCCTGTCCTCCGTACGCGCATGACGCATTGACGGTGCGTTGATACGTACCGTAGGCGCACTATATATTCACGTTAGATTCCAACTGGAGTCCCCAGCGCCACTCGTAAGATGTTTGGCGTCACGCGCTGTATGTGTATTTTGGAGGAGGAGGGAGAGAAGGTGAGGAATAAAGATGGGGGAGAGAAGGAAGGAGGAAGAGGAGGGGAGGGAGGGATGGGGGGATGGGGGGGATGGGGAAAGGGAGGTTAAAAGGAGGGAAGAGGGAGAAGAGGAGTGAGGAAGAGGAATTACAGGAAGAGGAAGCGGAGGAGGAAGAGGAAGCGGAGGGCAGCGAGTCAATACAGTAATTGTTTACAAACCCTCCCAGTTGGTGCATGACTCACAAACACAAAAACAAACATCATCACAAACACAGGTCACAAACATGGCCGAGTTGCACACACACACACACACACACACACACACACACACAGCTCTCCAGTCACCATTCCATCATAAATCGGACGAAAAAACAAGCAAAAAAAAAAAAAAACACGAGTAAAAAAATGATTTAAATCTGATCCCCAAAATCGACCCTAGATATTAAGATTTTTCCTTTACAGATTTAGCACCACGTTGCAGATTTTAAAAGCAGATTTTTTTTAAAGTGATGAATCTGTGTCTAATTTTACATTACAGTTTTTTGGTATAGTTGAACTTTTTTTTTATTCAGCTAACAAAATCGACTATAATGACATATATTCCATCAATAATTACTAGTTACCTGTGTGTACCTGTGAATGCTGTCGACGAATTACACCAATTACCTGTTATATAAGCCTTAAGGGGAACCTGCTACCTGACACACATACGTACATACCTGCCTAACCCTGCCACACTCACGTCACCCAGCAGACAACATTAACGATGGTACAGGAATTACAGGTGTGCAGGAGTGGGCCCTTAAAAGGTCAATCACAGGTGAATAAAAAGGTCATCCTCAAAAGGTCACCTACAAGAACCACCAGGACACACACACGCACACACACACACACACACACACACAAACACACACATACAGGCACATTCCACCAACAGGACAACCTGACGGTGAGAGGTGTATACGGCACTCTCCCTCTTCCCCAGAGGGGTCACAAGACGTCAAGGAGAAGGTCAGAGAGGTCACGGTGTTGCTGCCTATATTATTCTTTTTTGTCTTAGGTCGACTCCATTACAACATTGTTGAGAGAGAGAGAGAGAGAGAGAGAGAGAGAGAGAGAGAGAGAGAGAGAGAGAGAGAGAGAGAGAGAGAGAGAGAGAGAGAGAGAGAGAGAGAGAGAGAGAGAGAGAGAGAGCACAGCAGTAACAACACCGCATTCAATCAACACAAAAGTAACACAGCGTTCACTCATCACATCACGACAAGAAGCAGTAAGGAGGGAACAGCGTCATAAATGTAATACACATGAAGCCTCCCACCTGTCAGTCTGTCTGTGTGTATCTGTCAGTCTGTCTGTGTCTGTCAGTCTGTGTAAAGGTCTCTCTCTCCCCGTCCCGTCTCACATCTGCTGCTGCCACTAACACTTAAGTGGTCGTTCCTGGAAACCTGCTCATTAATTCTCGAGCGGTGGCTTCCGGAAACCTCCTTTGATACTGAAAATTGATTCTCGCGAGCTGGCTTCCGGAAACCCTCTTGTTATTGGGATTAATGTTCAAAGCGCTCGATACTGGACACCTCGTCACTATTACGCAAGCGCTTACTCCCCGGAAACCACCAGGTACTAGCCCTGAAGTAGAGACAACTGGAAACCTTCTGCCCCCCCCCCCACCCACACACACACACACACCATACTTGGCTACCGGAAAAGCCTCAGTACTCAAACACTGCAGCAAAGTACAATCACCCTGTACTCACACCTCACACAGAGTACATCCCTCCGTCACTGTACTCATTACCATACAGGTCTCTACGTCAGCATTCTTTCCTCCCCCTTCACCTGGCGTTTACCTGGTGAACAAAGATGGATAGCTTCACCTGTACCTAATTAACCTGTTCATTCCATTCAGCTATTTATTTACGTATTTATTCATTCATTAACTCGTGTATACATTTATAAGGCAACAAACGTGTCACTATAATAATAAATAATAATAATAATAATAATAATAATAATAATAATAATAATAATAATAATAATAATCAATAAATAATTCTTCCTCAGTTGCCAGTTATCTTTTTATACCACGTAATTCTTCTCTGTTATCTCCTAGTTACATCTTCGTCATATCTCCAATAAATAATAATACCTCATCATCGTTATCTCTATCATCGTCATAATTTTCGTCTCCAGATTACATTATTTTAGTTCCTCTCCCTCAATCACCATCACCACCACATCTTCATCACCACCATCACCATTATCACCACCACCATCATCATCATCATATAAATACCTATAATTTCTTGGTTTATTGAGCGTTTGTTTTGGTTACAATTTTCGTCTATTATTTAAATGAAAATTACTTGAATGTCTATGTCTCTTTTGGGTTGTTTTTGTTTGTTTATTTGTTGTGTTTGTTGCTTTTTTATTCTCTCTCACTTCCACACACAAGACACAGACACACCCTCACCTTCCCTCCCTCCCTACCACACCCTTACCTTCCTTCCCTCCCACCCACACCCTTACCTTCCTACCACCGTCTTTCTCCTCTCTCACCCACCTCCCTCCTCCTTCACCCACTCCCTCCCTCCTTCCTTCACCCAATTTCTCCTTCCTTCACCCACCCCTCCCCTTCCTTCACCCACCCTCCCCTTCCTTCTTCACCCACCTCCCTTCCTTCCACCCCCTCCTCCTCCTTAGTGCCACCTCTGCCTGGTATAGAGTAGTCAAGATGGACTCACTTCTTGGTCGAGCCAGTAACTGTTCACGGAGGTAATTCACTAACTGTCAGCCGACCAAAACCGCGACCGCAGGCTTGGTTGCATGGTGTATATACGTAGCCTTGACAAGCTGTATTTGCTGCTCTGGCCACCACCTTACTGCTGTGCTGTGCTGTGCTGGAGTTATTTAATACAGTGTGATTACTCCTTTAGGCTCCACTTTTATGTAATATTGCTGTTATAATTTTATGTAATGCTGTGTTGAGGTGTTATGCTGTACTTTCTGAATATGTGCTGCATCTGAATCGCCTGTTGAATGCTCTAAATATGCTGCAATTATCCCCGTGTTGCATTCTAAATTGCACTCTCACACGATACATGTGTTGCACTCTCAAGAAACATGTTGCTGTGTTGCACTCTCAAGAAACATGTTGCTGTGTTGCACTCTCAAGAAACATGTTGCTGTTGCACTCTCAAGAAACATGTTGCTGTGTTGCACTCTCAAGATACATGTTGCTGTGTTGCACTCTCAAGATACATGTTGCTGTGTTGCACTCTCAAGATACATGTTGCTGTGTTGCACTCTCAAGATACATGTTGCTGTGTTGCACTCTCAAGATACATGTTGCTGTGTTGCACTCTCAAGATACATGTTGCTGTGTTGCACTTTTTATAAAGCTACTAACCTAACCTAACCTAACTTAACTTAACCTAGATGGTATAGTCAGCTTGTAGATGTACTCTAAGTGACAATGTACACCACACACACACACACACACACACACACACACACACACACACACACACCGTATCTTCAATCATCCCTTCACTGTCACACACGATCAACACACTTCCCACGACTCATTGGTGTGTGTGTGTGTGTGTGTGTGTGTGTGTGTGTGTGTGTATCCATCCCACACTAAAGTGACATGGCTTAGAAATAAAGAAGACTATTATTATTAACAGTAGTTGTAGTACTTATTTACAAGGATATAAAAACAAAACAACGGGTAATTTTCTTTTCAATTTTATTGATTTTTTTACATATCAGTTAAGGCAGGGCACCTTGGGGACTCGAACAACAAATCCTGTAAAACTACCAGTAGGTTTGCGGGACTTCTTTGGTGTTATATCCTTGGGCCACCCGTTCTCCTGGGGTACCTGGGTGGGCTTGCGGGGCACACGTTGACGGGGTTCTCTCTGGGGCTTGGGTGTAAGGGAAGCCAAAGCATGGTTGGGCTTGCGGGGCACTCGTTGACGGGGTTCTCTCTGGGGCTTGGGTGTAAGGGAAGCCAAAGCATGGTTGGGCTTGCGGGGCACTCGTTGACGGGGTTCTCTCTGGGGCTTGGGTGTAAGGGAAGCCAAAGCATGGTTGGGCTTGCGGGGCACTCGTTGACGGGGTTCTCTAAAAGCCAAAGTATGGTTGGGCTTGCGGGGCACTCGTTGACGGGGTTCTCTCTGGGGCTTGGGTGTAAGGTAAGCCAAAGTTTGGCTGCTTTCTTCAGCTTCAACCAACTCCAGCCATGAGAGGCTGGAGCTGGTGAAACAAGAGATGTCCAATTTCTCAAAGTAAGTCATAACGACAACTTACCCTTGACCAGCAGTTCTTCTACTGAGGCCAAGTTGAAATTCGGCCACGAACTTCAAAATCTTGCGAAAAAAAATTAATGAGGTTGGAACATTGCCAAGTAGGTGAGACGTAAAGTAGTTTTATAGTGAAGTGAGTACTGATTGGTGTAGATGCTTATAGAGCCTTATAGTGAGGTGAAAAGTGAAGATATTGTGTATAGTGACTTATGGTGAGGTGAATAGTGAAGATGTTGTGTATAGTACCTTATGGTGAAGTGAATAGTGAAGATGTTGTGTATAGTGCCTTATAGTGAAGTGAATAGTGAAGATGTTGTGTATAGTGCCTTATAGTGAAGTGAATAGTGAAGATGTTGTGTATAGTGCCTTATAGTGAGGTGAATAGTGAAGATGTTGTGTATAGTGCCTTATAGTGAAGTGAATAGTGAAGATGTTGTGTATAGTGCCTTATGGTGAAGTGAATAGTGAAGATGTTGTGTATAGTGCCTTATGGTGAAGTGAATAGTGAAGATGTTGTGTATAGTGCCTTATAGTGAAGTGAATAGTGAAGATGTTGTGTATAGTGCCTTATAGTGAAGTGAATAGTGAAGATGTTGTGTATAGTGCCTTATAGTGAAGTGAATAGTGAAGATGTTGTGTATAGAACCTTATAGTGAAGTGAATAGTGAAGATGTCGTGTATAGTGCCTCGCCAACTGCACTGGCTAACCATTACCCCGGAATACGATCCGCAAATCGATTAACATCCAGGTTCCCAATTACTGCTGGGTAGACAGAAGCACTTACGCACCTACCCACAGACCCATCCTCACAAAACCACCCACACGCCCCAACCCACACAACCCACAGCTAGACGGAAACGCGGGCGTAGTGAGGAAGGGGAAGGAAGTTAAACAAACAAGTGAAATGTACCAATTACGGACGTGTTTACTGACTGACACACACACACACACATGCACACGTGAACACAAACAGGTTATGGTCAATTACAGATTTTCTTTATATTACAAACAGACAAACACACTAACAAAACAATTGCTGATTACTATATATCCTTCCGTTCTTCCCTTCTTCCTCTTCCTCTTTCTCCTCCTCCTTCTCTTCTCCCACTTCTTTATTTTCTGTGATACGTTATCAAGTGTCTTCTATCCCTTCTTCTTCCACCCCTTTCTTCTCCTTTTGCTTTTCCCCCTCCTCTCTCTCCTCCTCCTTCCTCCCTCCCCTTACTTTTCTTCCCCTCCTTCTTATTCTCCACTTCCTCCCCTCCTCCTCTCTTTATTTTCCTGTGCCATGTTATCAAATACATTTCATTCCCACGTTTTCAACACGGGTCATTCTTCCTATCATTCTTTTGTTTTCGACTTTCATCCTTTTTTTTCAGTCTCATATCTCCAACATTCTTCTATTTTCCTCTATGTCATTCTTCCGCTGTCAACTTTCCATCATTCTTTCGGTATCAACTGTCAATCATTCTTCACCTTTTACACATTTATCATTCTTAGACTGTCATCATTTTTTTCACATTCTTCCGCATTGTGATTATTATATTTTTTTATATATTTTAGACAATTATCATTAATTCTCTTTCCCCCCCCAAATCATCAGGTGTCTTATCTCCCGTTATGTACACCTGTCCTCACCTGGTGTTCTCTCTCTCTCTCTCTCTCTCTCTCCCAAGACTAAAACACAAACAGAATCTCTTGCACCAGACGTATGATGCCTTAACTCCAGGAAGCGGAAAGGTGCGAAATATCTTCTGTCACACACACACACACACACACACACACACACAAGAAGCGGAACTGAAACAATGACCAAGGAAGCATTAGGCGGAAAGGAAGGTGTAAAATTCAAACAGCAGGAATTAAAACACCTGTGATTCCGCACGTGGACGAGATAGTCATGTCGTTAAGCTGGTACTTAAACACCTGAGGACTGTCCACTCACCTGTGTAAGAATTCACCATGTGTTTCTCTTATGTTTTTGATAAATAATAATATCTTGACGTCTTGGGCTTTATTTTTCTTTAATAATAATAATAATAATAATAATAATAATAATAATAATAATAATAATAATAATAAAATAACAATAATAATAATAATAACAACAACAATAACAACAACAACAAAAAACTCCATAATAAAACTACAAACATTTAAAAACAAAACACACACACCTGAATTTACACCCAATTAACCTGTATTAAATTCAATGTACTATAAACGTTTGTGGTTTGTTTACACTCTATCAGCGAAACGTTTATTTACATTACTCAGGTGAGGTTCTAAACGGTGTAATGGGGAGAGAGAGAGAGAGAGAGAGAGAGAGAGAGAGAGAGAGAGAGAGAGAGAGAGAGAGACTGTGTGTGTGTGTGTGTGTTTCAGTATGTACGTCCATATGTTTATGTAGACAAAGAAACAAACAAACAAACAATAAAAACAAATAAAAAACACATAGACAGACATACAACCATTGCTGAAACAAATAAACAACAATAACAACAAACAAACAGATGAACAGAAAAGTACATTGTCACCCAGAGCTATTGATCAATACCTGACGTCACAAGGTGGAACAAGGAACGTCACAAGGTGGAACAAGGAACGTCACAAGGTGGAACAAGGAACGTCACAAGGTGGAACAAGGAACGTCACAAGGTGGAACAAGGAACGTCAAAAGGTGGAACAAGGAACGTCACAAGGTGGAACAAGGAACGTCACAAGGTGGAACAAGGAACGTCACAAGGTGGAACAAGGAACGTCACAAGGTGGAACAAGGAACGTCACAAGGTGGAACAAGGAACGTCACAAGGTGGAACAAGGAACGTCACAAGGTGGAACAAGGAACGTCACAAGGTGGAACAAGGAACGTCACAAGGTGGAACAAGGAACGTCACAAGGTGGAACGTCACAAGGTGGGAACGTCACAAGGTGGAACAAGGAACGTCACAAGGTGGAACAAGGAACGTCACAAGGTGGAACAAGGAACGTCACAAGGTGGAACAAGGAACGTCACAAGGTGGAACAAGGAACGTCACAAGGTGGAACAAGGAACGTCACAAGGTGGAACAAGGAACGTCACAAGGTGGAACAAGGAACGTCAAAAGGTGGAACAAGGAACGAGGAAGCTAACTTAACCAACCCCCTCTGTCGTCCAGATACCCGAACTATCAGAAGGATTGTAAGGAATGTCAAAAGAAGAAGGAAGGAAAGAAGGAGGAGGAGGAGGCAGAAGAAGAGAGAAAGAAAGAAAGAAGAAGGAAGCAGGAAGAAGAAGAAGAAGCCTTAGCATATATAAACATTAATTAAGAGAAGTGATCTCTTTGCATTAACTTCCAGAGTTGTTTGCTTACATATATTAGTGTGTGTGTGTGTGTGTGTGTGTGTGTGTGTGTGTGTGTGTGTGTGTAATTAACATTGACGTCTACCTCATGGTGGTGTCAGGTGTTGTACCGGGAACTCGTGTGACCTGTGGTGTGGCATGACTGATACCTCTCTCTCTCTCTCTCTCTCCGACATCTACCTGGTTAAGTGTGTGTGTGTGTGTGTGTGTGTGTGTATCTCGCCACAAACACAGCTCCATCACCCGGGAGGTAAACACTGCGGTCAGAAGTAAACAACTATATCCCCATTACTGTCCTGCCTCTCACCACCCCAATGTAAACAAACAAAACTTAAGAGACTGATACTATTGTTTATTTCCTATTTGAGACTCCCGTTATTTCTGGTCATTCTTCTACGTTAAACCGAGCTTAAAAAATAAAAAACATCCTCAACGTGGGAAAACACCATCAGATAGGTCAAGAACTCCTGACAGCACATTCCAAACCCATCCTTAGACATCAAGTGGGTACAAGACTGACCCATATATCCTCTACCTTCCAAATTAACACAAGAAACATTTTATTTATTTAGTTATTATTATTATTTTTACGTTTCCTGTCGGTAATAATTCGGACAGATGGACTTCCCCCCCCTCGGCCAGGTGTCGGGAACTGATGATGTGCACACTGTGTTGGCTCATAATGATGGCGTTTACAGGAAGTTTGTGTTTTGAAAGGTTTAATTTAGTGTAGTTAGCTATTTAACCTTTGAGGAACCTTGGATATAATTTATATTTAGGTTGAGTTAATACAGGTTTATGGCGAGTGCTTGTTACGCTTTGATGACACACACACACACACACACACACACACACACACACACACACACACACACACACAATAATAATAATAACTTCTTGTGGTGCCATTTCCCTAGTGCGGAAGTGGACTCTATTGGTACTCAAGATGACTGACTGTAGTACTCGTAATGGGGTAAATATAGGACTCTTAAGGTACTCAGTGTTTTATGATACAGATACTATGGTAATGCGTCCGGTGGGTGCTGGTACTGTCCTGGTATCATAAGTAAGTAAGTAAGTTCAGGTAGTAGTAGTAGTAGAGTCAACAGCACCGCCATCTAGTGAACGCCACACACACTCAGAGCCTAGCCTAACCTAACCTAACCTAACCTAACCTACCCATACCTCTTCCTCCTCCCTATGGCCGTATGACCGATTATTAATTTAGTTCCTTCTTCGAGTTCACACCCACTGTGTCCGTGGCTCCGTGGCGAAGTCAATATAAATGTGATAACTCTTGGATAGGTGGACGGATGGTCTTCAAACTTGGCAAGGTTGTTGGTTCGACCTATAATAGACACGATCCTATTACCGTAAGCCTGGGATTTGGGGAATTCGTGTTTTTCAGGAATATATCGCGTGTTCGATTTATATAAACGTATATAAAACCCATATCATCTAGTTTAACTGTTGTGAATCCTTAAAAACAAAATCCTTCACGTAAAAAAGTAGTCTGTTTACATCACACACAGTTGAAAGATTCCAAACTAGAACTACGATTTTTTCACAGGTATATAAACTAACTCACCTATGACACGAGATAAATATAATAATGAATTCAAGGCTAAAAACAGCAAGAAAAAGTGAAGAAAAAAAATTAATGATTGTCTTACCATATCTAGAGGAGTTACCCCCCGCCAAAAAATAAAGAGAACAAAGAAAACGTGACTTAATCTTTTAAGAAACTGGGTCGAGTCTTGATAGAATTCCTTGTGAAAACTTTGATACTTTGAGAGAAAATTAGAAACCACTTCTCCCATAACACCCCCTCCCCCCGTTCTCGATTATCACCCCCACCCCCCTCAAAAAATGGTTTCTCACGGGGAATCGAAGACGTGTTCTGTAGATTACTCTGAGGGAGACTTTCAACTGTACCTGATTTCATGGTAGTAGGAGAGAGAATGGTAGGTCATGGTAGCGTTAGAGAGAATGGAAAAATAATGTTAGTAAAACAACCATTAATTAAGAAAGGTAATGGTAGCTGGAACCATTAATTATCATAATGGTGAGAATAAAAAAAAAATACATACGCATCTGTCCGTGAAAACTGACATTTACGCACCGCTGTGTCCGTGAGAATGACATATACGCATCGCTGTCCGTGAAAAATTACTTATATCCGCATCTCTGTGTCCGTGTGAATGGCTTACGCACCACCGCTCTGTCCGTGAATGCGTATATATATAAAGTTGACTTAACTACCTCGCTTGTAGTTACGCTTTTGTTTTTTAGAGGTTGTCCAGTTTATGGTCATTATTAACATCAGTTCCAGCAGGAGTACCGTAAGTGGTGACCGTAAGTGTTGACCGCAGACATGTGAGACAGGAAAAGGAAGAAGCTATTGTGATGATGACCGCCGCTTATGATGACCGCGCCCTTGATAACCGCCGCCCATGATGATCGCCGCAAGTGACGATGGTTAAGTGGTGACCGTAGAAGGAACATTTGGTATAAGTGATGACCTCAGCAATTGTTGACCGCAAAGGATAATTCTAAAATATTGACTACCGCAAGTGATGACAGCTTGATAATTAATTGTACATGATGACCGCAAATGACCGCAACTGCTGAAGACCCTAAAAAATTATGACCGCACAATAACGAAGAGGAAAGAAGGGAGGAAGCAGTCAGCGAATATGTATGAAGACGCTGACGAAGGAGCTGACGAAGGAGCTGACGAAGGAGCTGACGAAGACGCTGACGAAGACGCTGACGAAGACGCTGACGAAGGAGCTAACGAAGACGCTGACGAAGGAGCTAACGAAGACGCTGACGAAGACGCTGACGAAGGAGGTAACGCAGACGCTGACGAAGGAGCTAACGAAGACGCTGACGAAGACGCTGACGAAGGAGCTGACGAAGACGCTGACGGGGGCAAGAGGTCGTCATGCTCCAGGTACTCCTTCCGAGTTCCAGACAGCTCCCCCCCTCCCTCCATTCCTACCCCCCTCCCTCCTGACTCACCTGTACACACCTGAGGCAACACCTTCTGGGTCTCATTAGCCTCATCCTTCCTGCCCTCCTTCCTTCATTCATTCTTTCCTTTCTTCTTTCATTCATTCCTAGTCTTACTCCATGCATCCTGCTTTACTTCATTCATTCCTACTTTCCTTCCTTCATTCATTCCTGCATTCCATCATTCATTCCTACTTTCCATTCTTTATTCATTCTAACATTCCTTCCTTCATTCTAACATTCCTTCATTCATTCCTACTTTCCTTCCTTCATTCATTCCTGCATTCCATCCTTCATTCCTACTTTCCATTCTTCATTCATTCTAACATTCCTTCCTTCATTCCTACTTCCCTTCCTTCATTCCAACATAAGTCAAGGTATAACAAGTAAACTCTACCAATAAAGCGACTTGTACACCTGCGTCATTAGTACACATGTAGACGTTAATTAACCTCCGTGTGTAACTACGTCATTAGGTAAGAGTGATTAGTTGACGTAGAGATTTGTGATACATTAATACAGTATTCTGATCACCTGGTAAGAATGACTACACCTGTAATTAGCACTTAACACCTGCATTACTATTTCCAGGTAGATATAAATTAGAGTTTTTAAAGGTGAAGCATACCTGTGTTCACCTGACCGTAGTGTGTGTGTGTGTGTGTGTGTGTGTGTGTGTGTGTGTGTGTGGACTTACATGACTGAAATACATACGAGTGAGTTATTTCTATGTATGTATATGTGTGTGTGTGCGTGTTTGTGTGTGTGTGTGTGTATGTATGTATGCATGACATGACTAAGTCTATGTATGAATGTGTACACGTATCCATACACTAACATGAATGAATATGAACATATATATTTATGTATATGTCTGTGTATGTTTGTGTATTTTTATGTAAGTCTATGTACGTTTGTGTATGTATGTGCATTTCTCTGTGTGTCTGTACGAGTCGTCAGCAGTATGGATCACCGGACCTTCTCAGCTGACCAATGAGTAGCGTGAAGGGGTGTGGGGGATGGGGGGTTGAGAGATACAGGTAAGATCCAGGTGTATGGGTACTTAAGCCAGGTGTGACACACATCTGTTTCAGCGTTCCTTAACCTGTGTTACTTAGGGCAGGTGTGTCTTGTATGTATGTATGTATGTATGTATGTATGTATTAAAAATTTCCACTATACGACAGACAGACAGATAGATAGATAGATGATAACAGAGAGAGAGAGAGAGAGAACAGAATATTCACTGATGATAGAAATGGGTGAAAGAAATAAGATAGGAGCCGCTACATTCCCCCAACTAGACCATCCCCCACCGTCACCCTCCCCTCATCCCCCACCGTCACCCCCCCCCCGGACAGGTAATGACCAGTGCAAAACAGTCAACACCAGGTAGCGAATGTCCAGGAAACTGCGTGGAACTTCACCTCTACCTGACAGCACATCCGCTCACCTTTTGCCACCCATGCTGTCTGGACTGTCACCCATTTTGTCACGGCTATCATCCATGCTGTCTCACCACCACCCCCTACATCACCCCCTCCACCACCTCCTACCTCACCCCTCCTCCTCCCCTACGAGTCACAGTGACCACCCCTCAAGTGTTGCATATTTAATGTATTGTGTAGAGCCCAGAACGTAAACACTGCATATGGCGCTTAACACCCCTCCTACTCCCACCCATCCCTCCCTCCCCCCTCCTCTCTCCCCATCTCTCCCTCATTTCCCCCTCCCCTTCCCTCTCTCCCCCTCCCTTCTTCTCTTCCTCTCCCCAAACCACCTCAGTGTAGGGGATGCTTGTGTGGCACCTAACAGTAACTCTCGAACATTCAAAGTCCCGTATTTTCGAACCCCAAGCCCATAAACGACCCTGAAGACCCGAATCTTCAAACCCTGAAGTCTTAAATAAACCCCAAGTTCGAATCTTTGAACTCTAAATCCCTAAAGCCCCGACCTTCCGAATCTTCAAACCCTGAATCCTTAAACAACCCCAGAGACTCGAATCTGTGAACCCCGAATCCCTAATCTCCAAAACTTCCGAATCATAACACCACAAAACCCCTAAATTCTCGAACACCTGAATCCTTAAACAAGAATCCCCGAAACATCAAAACTTCCACAGCAAAACAAACAAAAAATAATAATGAAAAAAAAAATTAATAAATAATAAAATAAAATAAATTCAAATCCCATCTCAATCACCAATACCAAACGAACTACTGTACACCTTCACCTCATTACTTCAATCACCTCTTGTCAATCATTACCACCACTCAACTATGCTCTTCACTACCATTAAAGTTTGAAACAATGACATATTTACTGTAAGAATTATGGCGTGGATGTCAAGGCAGGCAGGTAGGTAGGTAGGCATGAGGAACTTTAACAAGATATTTTAACATGATATTTCAACACTATATAACTCAAAAGGCTATTAGATTAACACACACACACACACACACACACACACACACACACACACACACACACACACACACACACACACACACTTTCATTTATGAGTGTTTTCTTAACCCAAGTGTTCCCATGAGTTAGCTGTGGCTGTGTCCGTGCTATGATAGGTGTACCCCAGGGCGAGTATCCGTGTTGATTCTCACTGGCGTCCGTTACTAGTGGTAGGTGGTGGTGGTGGGTGGATTGTTAGTGGGTGGTAGGTGGGTGGTTGATTGGTGTTAGTTGTGGTCGGTACTTGTGTTAGTGGTTGATGGTGGTGGTGGTAGTAGTGGTTGATGGTGGTAGGTGGTGGTTGCCATCAGACATCTATGATACAGTGTCTTCTGTTGTAGCTTTCTTCTACACCTTGTGCACTTCTTCTTCTTCTTCTTCTTCTCCTACTCTTCCTCCTCCCTCTCAAGTGACAGTTCCCACTCAATCTCACCCCACTCCGTTACTGCTGCCCGTTCTATTACGCCTATGATCCAGTGTCCAATTTACGGCTCCCACCCCCATTCCCTCTCACCTCCCCCTCCACCCCTCTCACATCCCCCTCCCTCTCTCTCTACCGCTATATAACATCAACACACCTGGTTATAGTCGCCCACTCCGTTATACCTGAGTTATACCTAACCTAACCCACCCACCACCCCATCTTCCACCTGCCTTTCAAAAATAATTCCCATTCCATTCACTTACCCCATTGCGACACCTGCTAATTGTGTACCTACGAGCTAACACACCTGAGTTACAGCTTCCTCTACCTGTGTGTTATGGATATTACCTCACTTTCTCCCCATTTCCTCTCAACCAGCATCTTTTCCTCCCTATTTCTTCCCTATTTACTTCATTTCTACCCTATTTCCTCTCCATTTTCTTCAGCTTCTCTCTATATCTTCCCCATTTACTCCATTTTCACTCTCTCTCTCTCTCACACAGGTCCGCTCCAGCTTGGATTCTGGTTAGCTGAGTGACGGGTCAAGCTTATCGGGTTAGCTCCAGGCATCACCCTCTGCTTTGTTTGCTGCCACTGTACCTGTGTGTGGTGCGTGAGGGAGGGGAGATGGAAGGGGATTGAGAGAGTTAGGGAAGGGAGGGGGTGAACAGGAGGGTGAGGAGAGATGGGGATGGGGAGGAGGGGGAAATGGAGGGAGGAGGGAAATGGAGGGGAAACTGGGAGGGGAGAAGGGGAGAGGGGAAGAATGGGAGGGGAGGAAGGAGAATGAAGGCAGAGAAATGGAAGGGGGAGGGAGGGAGGAGGTAGAAGATTGGAAGGGATAGCAAGAGTGGGAAAGAACCTAACCTAACCTAACCTAACCTAATCTAACCTAATCTAACTGAATCCAGGTGTGGAGACTCAGGTGTGTACGACAGGTGATGACAGGTGTGTGAAGTGAAATATCCATCCACGACAGAGATACCGGTAGTGAAAGACCGGTAAAAGTCCGTACCGGTAGAGGCATGTACCGGTAAACTTACAATACCGGTAACAGAGATAGTGAAAATATATACCAGAATTAAAGACCTCGTAAGTTTACCGGTAGAACTCAACAATACCGGTAGTGCTGGGAGCCGAGCATGTTACCGGTAATTGATATTTTCCGAGTTCTATACCGGTAAAACCCTCCTATACCGGTACCAATAGAACACCATAGCAGTACCGGGAAAAATAACACATTCGAACACTATACCGGTATATAAAATAAACTTTCCTATACCGATAGTACTGAGAATAATGATGATGATGATGATGATGATGATGATGATGATGATGATGATGATGATGACGACGACGGTAGTGATGATAATGAAGACAAACAAAGCATCAGGTGTTTTCAAATATAAGAGACTAAAATAAACAAACCACTAATTACTAACACAGGTAAGAAATTAAGTATTACAGACAGGTAAATAACAGTGTTAATTAAGACGTCGTCACCTGCACTACACTCGAGGAAGGTGTAGGACCCAACCATTGTTTACACCTCTACATCATTCCTGTAAACTAGAGGTTGTTTATTGTTTACATGCGCGGCCATTTTTAAAAGGCTCTGGCCATAACCTTTGACATACATACATACATACATACATACATACATACAAACAGAAGTACAAATAACTGCATAATACAGCAATAGAACCGTGTATAATGCAGCTGTATGACCGTGTATAATGCAGCTGTATGACCGTGTATAATGCAACAGCTGTATCAACATTGTCAACAGCAGCAGCACTGACTGGCTGATTGAATGGCTGACTGACTGACTGGCTGAGTGGACGCATTAAAGCCAGATGGTATACGTGTATAATGCAACAGCTGTATCAACATTGTCAACAGCAGCAGCAATGACTGGCTGATTGAATGGCTGACTGACTGACTGACTGACTGAGTGGACGCATTAAAGCCAGATGGTATACAGGTGTGGTGGATGATGCTTCTGGCCACACCTTTTTATGGCAGGTAATCAAAGGTGTTCACATAAATTAGAGACAGGTAACTAATCACTTCTCTTCCATCCCCTCCTCCTCCTCTTCCATCTGCTGTTCCTTTTCCTTCTCCTCCTCCTCCTCCACGAGAAAGAGAGGAGAAGAATGAGGAGGAAGAAATGAGAAATGGTAAGAGAAAGAGGAAGAGAGGAGGAAGAAAAAGAGACGAGGAGGAGGAAGAACAAAAAGACAGGAACAGGAGGAGGAGGAGGAGGAAGAAAACAAAAGAGGTTAGAGGAAAAGAAAGAGATAGAGAAGAGAAGAGGAGGAAGAAGGAGGAAGAGAAGAGGAGGAAGAAGGAGGAAGAGATCAGGAAGAAGAAGAGAGGGAGGAGGAGGATCAAGAAGACTACATGAAAATTACACTAGAGGCCCATCACTCCCCATTGTTTCACACACACACACACACACACACACACACACACACACACACACACACACTATTGTTTGCCACTGTTTACTGTTTCCTCCTGATTTGCACTCACTCACTGTTGAGAGCTTGAGCAACAACTCGATCACGACTCTCTCTCTCTCTCTTTCCTCTCTCTCTCTCTCTCTCTCTCTCTCTCTCTCTCTCTCTCTCTCTCTCTCTCTCTCTCTTCTTCTTCTTCTTCTTCTTCTTCTTCTTCATCTTCTCGTTATCTCTGCTACTACAACTATACTATTACTACTACTGCCACTACTATCAAAACAACAACAACAACTACTACCACCACCACCACATCAAAGACCTAACAAACAAACAAACTCACAAAAACACCGACCTACCTTTAAGCCTACCACCTAATTAGCATATAAATCACAGGTGTCAATTTACTCCAAAGAAAACGTCACTTAATCGAACGGTAACTCAAGAAAAACGAAGATTTACGCCTTTACATTTCACAAGACAATAATGGAGTCGCTTTTATAGACTTCTAATCCAGGATATATGACCCACTTAAGCATTTATTACATTTTAAAAGATAATCTCTCTTTAATCTCATTTCAATGGGTCTTAATCAATAAAGATAATCACTTTATATATGACGTTTAATCGCTATATGTGGTCAGGTCACGTCTAGGTCATTAACGCAGTCGACCTTACGGTACCCTGACCCCCCCACATACATACGATAATAACCACGTGTTGATTGTACGGATGAACTTGAGAAAGATTAAATGAAACAGTAGCTCTCATCCCAGACACTTTAAACCAGAATGACACAAATTGGAAACACCTGTGGGCCCCGGTGTCCAGCCTCCAGGTAAGACAGGTGTATCTCGTAGCTCCTACCTATACCTTCCACCAGCCCCTTCACTCCCCCCTCCATCAGTCCCCCCACACTCCTTAACTAGTCCCTTACTCCCTTTTCAGTCCCCTACCCCTTCCTCAGTCCCCTAATAGACCCTAGTCCTACGAGGCCCCAACGTCACCGATCATGACCATTAGGACTGGGGCCCATTAGGACTGGGGCCCATTAGTACTAGGACCTACTACATCTGGGGTCCATTTCACAGTGACGCAAATTATCTCACTGCCGCACACTGTCGGACGCAGGGTGTGGAATGCGTCGCCCGCCTCTTATAACACAACGTGGGGAAGCGGAGAAAGATTACGATCGCCTAGTGATTTATTCCATCTCTCTCTCTCTCTCTCCTTCCCTTCCCTACTTCCTACATTCTTCCTTTCCTCCTTCCCTCCTTCCCCCTCTCCCTCCTTCTCTCCCTTCTCTTTCTTCCCTCCTATCTCCCTCCTCCCTTTCTCCTCCTCATTCATCTTCCTTCTACACACACACACACACACACATTATTAGGATTATCTCATGTTTACTAGGATTAATCTTATATGAGCATCTTTTTACTAGGATTATCTTAAGGACGAATAAAGTCTAAGAGGCACTATGATCTTCCCCTTGTTCCTTTAAGTAACCACGGGCGAACATTCGTCTGGCGTTATGATTTTTATGTGAAGAAATATAATTCGTGTGGAAGTGAACGCCTGACGCTATTGTTCGCTAGTGTGGGAGGAACCAAGCGGTGGTGGGGATTTTAAAACAACAAATCACAGGTTTATTTTCCTGGTAAAACTAAAACGTGATATAGTTGGTTTATATTGTCTTAATAACGGTACAATTAACGGGGTTATAAAAGCTTCAACGAGTTTTATTTTCGTTCGTAATATTGACAAACATAACAACGTGAACAGTTCCAATAACGCAATATAACGGAGAGATTTTTTAAAAGACTTAACAGAATCCAACAAAACATAAATACGTGGGTTTACAGTTCCAATAACACCACTACTTAACGGAAGACCTCAAGAAACGCTAATCCAAACGGTATTTAAACCAACCGGAACCTTTCATTATACCTCTATTGATTAACTAAAGTGTGTTAAGTTACGGTGGTGTGAGGGAAGCTGCAACGGCTCGGTCCAGTGTGTGTACAGGTAACAGACACACCTTGACGCGGGTAAACACACAAGCCTGATGAATCACTCGTCGACAAGGTGTTCAGAGTAGCTTCCCATCACCAAACCTGTTCTACCGATAATCTGTCTTACCGAGAGAGAGAGAGAGAGAGAGAGAGAGAGAGAGAGACAACCTCCTACCTTCGTGACCACTACAGGTGATGGGCCAGTGGCACTACCTACCTCACCTGCCTCTCTTCATTAATCAACCATATGTCTTACCTGTGCCCTACCTGGTCTACCTGTACTCCGGTAACCAATAGGCCCGACACGCAATTTGTTCGGTATGAGGAATTAAATAGTGTCTTATTCAGGTGATCCGGTGTAGCGATGGTGGTAGTGGGTGGTGATTGGTGATGGTGGTGGTTAGTATTAGTGGTGGTTGTAGTTGTGGTTGGTAGTGATGGTGTGCGGTGGTGGTTGCAATAATAATAATAATAATGTTGGTAATAGTAGCCTTAAAAATAGTGGTAGTTGTGGTAGGAATAACAACACCTCTGTCCAATACTACCACCATTTATTTCCTTCACCAAAATCCACTTACCACCCTAAACTATGTCCCTCTGCTATAGAAAAAAAAAACTCCCTCACACGAAAAACCACAATCAATCACATCACAAAAGGCGGACACGGGCTTAAAACCACCTAAAAACACCTGTAATATACTGAGTGACAATTACATCACCTTTACCTGTACTAATTACTACCTGTAGAGAAGTGATTAGTGACGCATCGGGCAGGTAATTACAAAAGACAATCACACACACACACACACACACACACACACACACACACACACACGGTCGCCATCTGTGCTAAACTGAGTCTGATGTTGACCTGAAAGAGAGAGAGAGAGAGAGAGAGAGACAGAGAGAGAGAGAGAGAGAGAGAGAGAGAGAGAGAGAGAAAGAGAGGAGAGAGAGAGAGAGAGAGGAGAGAGAGAGAGAGAGAGAAACAGAGAGAGAGAGAGAGAGAGAGAGAGAGAGAGAGAGAGAGAGAGAGAGAGAGAGAGAGAGAGAGAGAGAGAGAGAGAGACAGAGAGACAGAGAGAGAGGAGACAGAGAGAGAGAGAGAGAGAGAGAGAGAGAGAGAGAGAGAGAGAGAGAGAGAGAGCACCAACGTAACCTCAACACTCACCTGATACAGAGTACAGTCCTTGAAGTCCCATGGCAGTGATCCCTGGTCCTCCTCCGTCATGCCACTCTCGAAGAAGGAGTCCAGGAGAGACTTAGGACTTATCCCATTCTCCTGTAGGTACTCCTGACGGCGGTGGCTCTCGCGGTAGTGGAGGCAGCAGGACCTGGATCTCCTCGGGTTGGCGAAGTTCCTCGGGGTGTCACTTCTCTTCCGCGGGCTGGAACTACGAGCTCGGTTCTTCGTCGGGGATTTGGTTCTGGGAGGCGGAACAGGAGTCGCGGATAGTTGCTCATCAGGCGGCAACTCTCGGGTGATGAACTCAATGTTTACTAATCGCTTTTCACTTTCCTTCGTACTGGCGACCGATTTTTTCGATTCTCTTTTCGTTTTGGTTTTCGGGGACTCTCTTCGGGAGGACTGTGTGGTGTTGGAGGCCTTTGGTTGTTTCAGGGGCACGTTGACGTAGGTTGGGGATGGGGCGCGTTTCGTCTGTGAGGGGGCGTTGGTGTTCGATTTGTCCAGCGGTGTTAATATCGTGTCCCTGATGAAGTCGCTGGCGGAGTATCGTCTCCTACAGGGTGTAGTGCGGTAGACCTCGCTAAGGACAGAAGACTTATGGCGACTCTCCTGGACGTCGCCGGCAAAGACACTGTCATCCTCGGTGTCCGCTGGATCAGAGAGAATTGGAAACCCTTCATCGTCCTCCTGTTGGCCATACCCGAAGGTGATGAAGAGGCTGGTGCTACACTGCCCTCCGTCAAGTAGGTCCTCATTGCCACTCTGCTGTTCCTCGCTGTCGCCGCCCACGTAGATGGCAGAGTCGCTGGACATTCGCGTTCTAGAGCGTCGTTGTCTGGGAGGAGCCTCTGGGAGATAACTTTCCACATAAGAACCACCAGCACAGGTCAACATCCGGGTCCTGTCGTCTCCGGAAGTGTCAACAAGGGCACTTCTACGCGACTCTTCCGTATATTTTCTTTGGTCTATGGCTGGTATCGAGTAACAGTCTGCATACGGTGCGTGGACGTCCCCTTCACTACCCACACCGTCATGTGTAAAGGCAATCGACCCCTTGAGAACTATTCTGGCACTTGGTTCCTGACTGATGAGCGAACTTGGCTTACACGTGTGATCCTTCCTACCATTTGTACTTTCACTCAATCTTCTTCCTTCCATTTCGTAATCTTCCTCCTCCTCCTCGTCCTCCACTTCCTTGTTACTGACCACTGATATGATGCAACACCGAGCTGCCCTCCCCCGCTGACCACCATCACACCCCACGTCGCTTCTCACCATCACAGGGTCATCACGTCCCTCACCATCATCACCACCGCCAACAACACCCTCCGCTGTGTGTGTCACCGGTATAACGCAGGTGTTTCTACCTTTCCTCTCGGGAGTTATGCCAGAACCACAAGTGTCACTAGCATTCACCATCAAGGTACTGACGCAAGTGTTCGTGGCATCCAGGGAAAGGTCACTGGCACTACTAAAATACCCCGGTTGGGAGTCGAGGTCATAGTCAGGACTGGGTGTAGGGCCGCGAGGTGGACTGCCAGAGAGAAACAGCACACTGAGGCCCTGTTCTGATGATGGCACTATCTTGGCCAGAGCCTCCACGTCCTCCGGCAGGCCTCCGGGGGCATCATAGTGGTGAGATGAAGACACAAGGACGGAATGATGATGTTCGTGGTGATGGTTGTCGAGAGATGCCATTATCAGCTGACAAAAACAGTCCCTTGTGTTTTACATATTGGCTGTATTAATAATGTTTCTCTTCCCTGTGTATAGAAAACCACATTGAACTTTGACTCATAGTATAAATATATCGTTGATGACTATAAACCCTTATTAGAAAAACGTTTTACAGTGATACACAAAAACTTAGAAGAATAAAAAAAGAAGTTATTTAAGGGAATATATATAACGTATACTTTAAAAACGTTCCCTTATGACACACACACACACACACACACACCACCTCTCTCGCAAGGTAAAGAAAAAAACAAAAATATTACTCAATACCTGAACATGATTTAGGAAGTGTGACCAATTGGCACCGTGCACCCTACTTCCGCTACCCCCCCTCACCTGACCCCCCACACCCCCGCCCCCCCTCTCTCCACAGTCCCTCCTAGAATGGGGTGGTGGGTTCTGTCCAAAGGGGTTAGTTAAGGGGGAGGGGTGGGTTGGTCCTGTTCAGAATTAAAGAGGTGGGAGTCCTTATGTGTGTGTGTGTGTGTGTTGGTGCGCGCGCTCCCCATAGTTATAGAGTGGACCGTGTAACGTTGTGGGTCGCAGCGCAGGGGAGGGGAAGGCGGGGGAAGGCGTGGGAAGGCGTGGGGGGCGTGGGTGGGGGAGGTGGTAACGGTGACTGCACTACCTTCAATGTGTCTATATGATAAACTTCCTGTCGTTGTCCGGTAAAATTTAATCACTGTACGAGCACAATGAGAGAGAGAGAGAGAGAGAGAGAGAGAGAGAGAGAGAGAGAGAGAGAGAGAGAGAGAGAGAGACAGAGAGAGAGACAGAGAGAGAGAGAGAGAGAGAGAGAGAGAGAGAGAGAGAGAGAGAGAGACAGAGAGAGAGAGAGAGAGAGAGAGAGAGAGAGAGAGAGAGAGAGAGAGAGAGAGAGAGAGAGAGAGAGAGAGAGACCAACACACCCAACAGATAGATAAATAAAACCCAACAAATGGATAGACAGGACAAATAGACACATAAATCGATAAACTGACAGAAATAGATAGATAGATAGACTGATAAGAGAGAGATAGATAAATAGAGAATTGGACAGATTGACAGTAATATAGACGATTTATTAACGTGACCCCGTTCAAGTTAGTAAATAGACAGATATTGTTTATTTTTTTATCTGTTACGGCCGTCACAGTGAAGCTCAGAGCCTCACCTGTTACGGCCGTCACAGTGAAGCTCTGAGCCTCACCTGTTACGGCCGTCACAGTGAAGCTCTGAGCCTCACCTGTTACGGGCGTCACAGTGAAGCTCTGAGCCTCACCTGTTACGGCCGTCACAGTGAAGCTCTGAGCCTCACCTGTTAGGCCGTCACAGTGAAGCTCAGAGCCTCACCTGTTACGGCCGTCACAGTGAAGCTCTGAGCCTCACCTGTTACGGCCTTCACAGTGAAGCTCTGAGCCTCACCTGTTAGGCCGTCACAGTGAAGCTCTGAGCCTCACCTGTTACGGCCGTCACAGTGAAGCTCAGAGCCTCACCTGTAACGGCCGTCACAGTGAAGCTCTGAGCCTCACCTGTTACGCCGTCACAGTGAAGCTCAGAGCCTCACCTGTTACGGCCGTCACAGTGAAGCTCTGAGCCTCACCTGTTACGGCCGTCACAGTGAAGCTCTGAGCCTCACCTGTTACGGCCGTCACAGTGAAGCTCAGAGCCTCACCTGTTACGGCCGTCACAGTGAAGCTCTGAGCCTCACCTGTTACTGAGGTTACGGGCGTCACAGTGAAGCTCTGAGCCTCACCTGTTACGGCCGTCACAGTGAAGCTCTGAGCCTCACCTGTTAGGCCGTCACAGTGAAGCTCAGAGCCTCACCTGTTACGGCCGTCACAGTGAAGCTCTGAGCCTCACCTGTTACGGCCTTCACAGTGAAGCTCTGAGCCTCACCTGTTAGGCCGTCACAGTGAAGCTCTGAGCCTCACCTGTTACGGCCGTCACAGTGAAGCTCAGAGCCTCACCTGTAACGGCCGTCACAGTGAAGCTCTGAGCCTCACCTGTTACGCCGTCACAGTGAAGCTCAGAGCCTCACCTGTTACGGCCGTCACAGTGAAGCTCTGAGCCTCACCTGTTACGGCCGTCACAGTGAAGCTCTGAGCCTCACCTGTTACGGCCGTCACAGTGAAGCTCAGAGCCTCACCTGTTACGGCCGTCACAGTGAAGCTCTGAGCCTCACCTGTTACGGCCGTCACAGTGAAGTTCTGAGCCTCACCTGTTACGGCCGTCACAGTGAAACTCTGAGCCTCACCTGTTACGGCCGTCACAGTGAAGCTCTGAGCCTCACCTGTTAGGGTTAGGTTAGGTTAGGCGACCGAGTTACAACACTGACTGTAATCGTGTTTCATTTCGCTATAGAGTGTGCAAGAGCCGATGTTTCTCGACTGACCACGATTCACATTCTGAACAAGTGCACTGTGCAACAACTGACCAACACTCTTGCAACACAAACTTATACACACTACACATATACACTCAATTCTTGTATGAAATTTGTAGGTGTATGTTTCTCTGTCCGTTCGTTATGTATACAGTACAGCAAGGAATTACTCATGACGTCACTGATCAACTCATGACGTCACCGAGCAACATAATAATAATAATAATAATAATAATAATAATAATAATAATAATAATAATAATAATAATAATAATAATAATAATAATAATAATAATAATAATAAAATAAAAATAAATAAAAACACGATGCAGTTTTTTTTATCCTGAGATGACTGTAGTTACGACCACCTGGTATCGAGACTCGAAGCCTGCAGGTAGGTAAGTAAGTACAGGGGGTTCGAGTCCCGGCACGTGGTAATTATAATGTTGTGTGTGTGTGTGTGTGTGTGTGTGGACGTGTGTGTGCACGTGTGTGTGTGTGTGTGTGTGCACGTGTGTGTGTGTGCGCGCGTGTGTGTGTGCACGTATGTGTGTGTGTGTTAAGCCTGAGCGTTGACTCTTCTCCACCCCCTCTCCTCTTCTCCACCCCCTCTCCTCTTCCTCCTCTTCCTCTTCCTCTTCCCTCCTCCTCCTCTTCCTCCTCCCAGCAGTCAGCGTACAGGACCCCGATAATCACCCGATGATTGATCTTAAGTGTGTGTGTGAGTCTTACCTCCCGTGTGTCTGAGGGACTTAAGTGAGAGCCACACCCTCGTCAGGAGTCTACACCTACTGTATACGCTGAGGTGTAACGACAGGTATACGCTAGCTGATTGGCCTTGATATACTAGGTGTTAAGACAGTTGGCGTAAAAATGCGTAGACCAACCTATAGGAAGTGGATGGTGGATGTTTTTATATATACGCTCGTGGTTGATGTAGGGAACCAGGTGGTGAGGGGAGAGGGGAGGGAGAGAGAGGAGAGGAGGGAGGACAAGAGGCGACGACACCCACGACTGAACACACTAAGAAGGAGGAAGTAAACAGAGAGAGAGAGAGAGAGAGAGAGAGAGAGAGAGAGAGTGATTTACCGACAACACAACACAGTCCTAGTTACGGTTCCTCCAATACAGTAGAAGGAACGCGGGAAACGGAACACGTAATAAGGAACACGGAACAAGGAACTCGAAACAAGGAGCACGGAAAGAACACGGAACATAATACAAGAAATACGGAACAAGGAACATGGAACACGAAACATGGAACACGAAACAAGTAACACGAAACAAGTAACACCGTCTGGCATTGTTCTTCACGTATGTATAGACTGATGGACACACACACACACACACACACACACACACACACACACACACACACTCGAACGATTCCCGACGATTTTACATTACAGCAACACCAGCGCTAGCGATCAACAGCGTCTGGCGTTCCTTTCCACACATGAAAACGCCAAACGAACATTCTCCTACCTTCCACCTACAGTAACGCTCAACCTAACCTAAAGACACACAAACACTTTCTCGTGACAACATCGGAGGGGGAAAGGAAAGATTTGCCATTGCGTAAAAAAAAATGGAGTTCTTCCCCCCCCCCCTCTAGTTAGTGGGGGGAGGGGGGTTTAGGGGGTGATTCTCAGGTCCCTCCCCCCTAGACTCATTACACCACCTCCCTCCCTTGATAAAAATGTTATAACTCTCTATAATATTCGTTACTCTAAGTCGTCTTTTTCACTGTATTAGTTTGATATCACTGCCAGCGGGAATGAACGAATTACTTCCTCAATAGTCATTAATGTAATCATTTATATCGTTAAGTGTTCGTTATTATCACCATTGACATCATCACTAATCACGGCCTCGCTCACCATTCATATCACCATTCATGTAAATCACCGGTGATATCGATTTCATTCACCATTTTCAGCGGTCGTCACCATTCGCATCATCACCATACACACCCTTATCACCATTACTCCTCACTTTTTTTCTTCACCATTACCGCCACCATCCACGCTTTCACCATTATCCATCTCACCACCACACCTCACCATCACCACCTTCTCACACACCCAAATTCACTGTTCACTGTTTGAGTCACTTAATATGCTGGCCCTCCTTTCACCAGGTAACTACAGGTGTACGATATTAAACAGTGGCTAGTAGTAGTAGTAGTAGTAGTAATAGTAGTAGTAGTAATAGTAGTAGTAGTAGGTGTGGCTATTGGGGGAGGCTGGAGGCCACGTTTAAAAAAAAGTAGTGATCGGCAGCACTAAAAAATGACATGTTGCAGCAACTATTGCTGCAGGTTCCGGAAAATCTGACAAAAAAAGCCATAGCGCAGGAGGTGGGCGCCTCGAACGTTAACTACGTTACCGATAAGGGCAAATGGTTTCAGCCTTAACAAACAAGAATTTACAGATGCCATTGCTCTAAGGTACGGTTGGCCAGTAGATGGTTTGCCCTCCCAATGCGTGTGTGGCTATTCCTATGATGGCGATCACGCCATGGTTTGCAAGAAGGGGGGCTTCATATGCATGAGGCATGACGAGGTAAGGGATCTCACAGCAAATATGTTGAAGGAAACCTGCCGGGACGTCATGGTAGAACCGACCCTCCTTCCACTGGATGGCGAGATCCTCCAACACAGGACTTCAAACACATCTAACGAAGCCCGTGTGGACGTCAGTGCTCGAGGATTCTGGACGCGGGGACAGCGAGCCTTCTTCGACATCAGGATTTTTGATCCCATGGCCGTTTGTCACCGTAACCTAGCTCTCGATGCTGCACATAGGAGGAACGAGAACGACAAGAGAAGGGCATATGGGGAGAGAATTCAAAATGTTGATCAAGGCAGCTTCACTCCTCTAGTGTTCACAAAACCTCTGGGTGGGAGGCCAAGTGCGATGTTTCTACGCAGACCTCGGCAGGAGCTGATCTCCGAACAGAAGCAGCAGCCCAGAAGTTAAGTGTCACAGCCTCGGGATGAGATGTCGACTGTCCTTCTCTCTCCTTCGGTCGGCTTTGCTCTGCCTCAGGGGAACGAGAGCTTCTGCCCCTACTCCGACAACCGCTGCAGATATTGACTATGAGGCTACAGTCACGGAATGCCGCATGGATCTGCGGCTCAACTAATTTAACACAGATAGGATAGCTTCTTATGTATTAGGATATTTAATATTAAGGTAAATAAATGGTGGCGAAGGTGTGGCTATTGGGGGAGGCTGGAGGCCACGTTTAAAAAAAAAAAAAAAAAAAAAAAAAAAAAAAAAAAAAAAAAAAAAAAAGTAGTAGTAGTAGTAGTAGTAGTAGTAGTAGTAGTAGTAATAGTAATAGTAGTAATAGTAGTAGTAGTAGTAATAAGCTCCTCACTTAACATCAAAATCCAGCCACTATTTAATCTAGTTCACCTGAGGTTACCTGGTGAAAGGAACGCCAGCAGAAGGAAGTGAATAAAACAGTGAACAGTGAAATTGGGTGTGAGGGAGGGAAGGAAGAGAGAACCCGGAAGAAACGTGACGTAACGAGAGAGAGAGAGAGAGAGAGAGAGAGAGAGAGAGAGAGAGAGAGAGAGAGAGATTGTTTATGTGTAGGCGCCTGTACGTGAGTGTACGTGTGTGTGTGTTTAAACTTGACTCTCACATCTTGTTGACGTACACTTTATAATTGTCATCCTTATCATTGCTAGCATTATCATCCTTTAGCAGTATGATGATGATGATGATGATGATGATGACTAACTACCCAACTGTCACTACTTCCCCTAAACTAATCCACCGCAGTAATTAACCAGGTGTACAGGTAACTTAGGTACAGGTATTCACGGCCAAACACCTGCCCACTGCTTGCACACTTGACTCAGTTTCCACACCTGGGAGCCGCTGACCCACACACACTCACCATCCCTCCTCGGTCCGCTGGCTACCCTCACCGCAACCTATTTCCTATTACGGTATCCTATTTGATGTTTATTAAATACGATGTAGTTTTTCCGCCCCGTTCACGCCCCGCCCCCGCCCCCGCCCCGCCCCCGCCCCGCCCACACAGTCAATAACCAGGTCATGGGCGCTGCTGTGGGGTGTAGGAGAGAAGAATGGGTTCGGCTGAAAGTTAATTAGGCCCCAATACTATATAACCCGGAGCTAATCTAACCATAATCGGCATTTGGATTGGGGTCTATTAGGACTGTGCCCCTATCTTGATGGTATGGTTAGGTTAGGTTAGGTTGGGTTAGGTTAGGTTGGGTTAGGTTAGGTTAGGTTGGGTTAGGTTAGGTTGGGTTAGGTTAGGTTAGGTTGGGTTAGGTTACGTTGGGTTAGGTTAGGTTAGGTTAGGTTAGGTTAGGTTGGACTTGGGACCCATATAAGTGATCCTCAATGCCAATATTTATAGGCACAAACAGCTCACTCCTCCCTTCTCACAATACTCCTTTAGTCCGGGTTAATCATTCCCTCCACCACCAACAACAACAACAACAACAACAATCACCAGAATATACACAGAGGAGAACATTCACTCCTTCTCTTCCATTCACAAAAATACGAAACTCCCTCCCTCCCTCGCTCCCTCCCCCACGCCCCTCCCCTTACAGAGAGCAAATCAGCGCCACTAACAACCAGAGGACCAATATTGACGCTCCAGGTGAGGTCCTATACAGCCATCACGCCTCTGTGTTGACCTAAACGCTTCCCTGATCGGCAGTTGACCACGAGGTGTGACCAAGAAGGAGGGAGGAGGTGAGGGGTGGGGGAGGAGTGGCTGAGGAGGGGTGGGTGAGGAAGGGGTGAGGGAGGAAGGGGAGAGGGGTGAGGTACTCCAGACCACAGCGTGCGTGACTACTTTGTGGGAGAGATCTTATTCCTCCTCCACTTTCTTCTCCTTCTCCCCCTCCTCTTCTTCCTCCTCCTCATCTTTCCCTTCCTCCCTTTTCTTCTCCTCCTCCTACGGGTGGTGGCACTCACTGACACCCCCACCTTGTGAAAGTGATATAATAATCCCTCACGTTCCTTTCAACACACATTCACGTCATGACATAATCGGAGGAAG